CAATTCACTTAAACACTGGAATTATCATTTTAATATTCATCACTAAAAGAAAGCTTTCAAGTTTCTGATCTTGGTGAGAAATACCTTTTGAAAACAAGATTCCTCCATCTCTCTCCACCTCATGGGTGAGGTAGGTGGGTAGGTATCAAAGCAATCCTTAGAAGAGTTTTCTGTAGGAGTTTATAGTGGTAACACATCAACCTTTTTTCCAAGCTGTTTATGGGGGCCTGTGTTAAGGAACTGTGCTAACCTTAGAGATGGGGAAAAATTCTGATTTTGACAGTGAGTGGAGCCAGAGTAGCATTCCTGTAAGAAGCCAAGTTAGGTTTCTAGAGGGAGGCTATTAGGAAAAGAATTACTTAGAACATCCCCTTGAGTTTGGAAAGTGCGTTCGGTTTAATGACAGAAATAATTTTAAAGGTACAGGGTAGAAGGGCATGTATTAAATTTTGTCTCCCACGAGTTTGCTGGTTTGGGTGCTTTGGAGGCAGTCTCTTCGTTGAGAAAGGTGTTAGTGTCTCACCTCAGCAAAGGCTTTGAGAGATCAGTAGTCTAGGTACTCTGGTAATAGGGCACAGGGCACAAAGGGGTAGTGTGCAGAGTGGCTAAGAGCAGGGACCCTTGAGTTAGACTGGCTTTGAATCCTGGCTCTACTATTTACCGGCCTTATATCCTTAAGCAGTTTATTAACTCTCTGAACCTCAGTTTCCTTATCTGTAAAATGAGGGATAATAATAGTACCCAGAGGGTATTTGAAGATCAAATGAGTTAATATATGTAAAGCAGTTAGAACCCTGGTCCATGGTAAGACCTATTTAAGTTTTAGCTATTTTTATTACCGTCAGTCTTTCTCTTACCACTTCCCATGATTTGCTCACACCCACTGGCTTCAGCTGTTGAAGATAATTTATAAGACTTTCTTTGTGCCCTTTGCTGCTAGTGCCGTGGGGTGGGGAAGAGCCATTCATGTTTTTTTCAATTAACCAACATATTTTGAACACCTGTAGTCCTACGGGGTCCTAGATGTGGGGGCTGCAGAGATGTAGGGGAATGTAAGGCTTGATTCATTGGGTCAGATCAGTGCCTGGACAGGCTTGGGAGTGCTAGATCCTTCCAAAATGGCCATCTTAAAAGGGATATGTCCCAAACATGACTCTGTTGGAATCAGCACGATGGGTTCGAAAGCACAAATTTAGGGGTCAGGTAGATGTGGATTCAAATGCTGTTGCACTTTCCTACCAGACTGTGTCTCAGAACCTTTCCAGATCTGTTTCTTCACTTCTAAAATGGTGATGGTATGACCAAACTCACAGAATTATTGTGAACATTAAATAATAGAGATGAGATGTGTAAAAATCTGTGGCACACGCTAGGTGCTCAGTATTGGCTGTCCATTTAACCTGTACAGAACCAGTTGATATTTTTAGACAATACTGCCTAGTGGGGTCATTTCCTACATGGCCTACTTGCTATGCCAAGTAGAATTCATTTGGAACAGCAGTTGAGGACATGGCTTCCTGAGTCAGGCAGAACTGGCCTCTAATCTCAAGCCTGCTGCTGACTAGTTCTGTGACTTACCCTTCCTTGAGCCTTAGCCTTGCCCTGTATAAATGGAGATAACAGTAGTTCCTAACTCATAGGGTTGTTCTGAAAATTAAATGAAGTGATCCATATATAATATTTTTAGTACATCTTGGGTTTTAAATAAATGGTAGTTACTGTTTATCCTAGAAGTATAAGTGGAAGCTTTAGAGATTCAAGATTTGATGACTGTTTATCTTATGCTCTTCATTTAATTTTACTTAAGTTCATTTTTTTTCTGAATTCATCCACAGTCCTACCGTTTAAAAAAATTTTTACTCTTTGTGAATATTTGTAGGTGATTTGTTTTTATTTTTTTAATGATTTATTTTTTTGTTGTTGTTGAAATTGTACACAGCAGAGCATACATCAGTTCAGCAATTTCTACATGTACAATTCAGTGACAGTGATTACATTCTTCAAGTTGTGCAACCATGTTCATTTTCCTTTTCTGAGTTGCACCTCCTCCATTGACATAAACTCACCGTCTCCTAAGTTTTATGGCTAATCTTTCGAGTTGCTGTTGTCAGTTCAATCCCGTGTAGATAATTCTTAAAAAAGCACGATGCTCAAGGCAGGAATGTTTTACTAATTAAGCTAAATTATTGTTTGGTTTTAAGAAGATTTCAGGGGATATTTTTGGTTTAAGGTTTAAGGATTATTATCTCAGGACAGTAGTTTCGGGGATTCATCCAGCCTTCATGACTCCAGAAAGTCTGGATTACTTGGGATTTGAAATTCTAGTCTGCATTTTGCCCCTTTTGATCAGGATTCTTCCATAGAATCATTGATCAAAATGTTCAGTAATGGTAGCCAGGCATAATCCAGTTTTGGTCTCATGGCAAAGGAGGCAGTTATTCATGGAGGCAACTAGTGAACACATTCCATTTCTTCCTCCTATTCCTGACTCTCTTTCCTCTGTTGCTCCAGGTTTTATTTAGCTGTTAAGATTGGAATGCTTACAATTGTGTGTTCTGCTTTTTATACTTAATATTATGGGGTTAACAGTTTCTGTGTTTCATAACCATTGTTTTAATGACTGCATAATATATTGTCAAGTGGATGTACCATAATTCAGTCATTTCCCTATTGTTGTGCAGTTGTTTCCAATATGTTGCAGTTATAATGTCTCGATTAATGAATAAGCTCATGTATATAGCATTTTGATATTTTAAATTTAGTTCTCTAGGATGAATTCCCAGAAATATTGCTTGGTCAAAGGGGATAAACATGTCTTTTGAATACATACTGCCAAATCGTTTTTTCAAAGGGCTCTACTGATTTATATTTCCACTGTTGTTATTTTATAAACTTCAGTTCATTCCCTTATTCAACAAACATCTTTTAAGCCCTCATCATGTGGCAGGCTTAGTGAGAAGAAAGTGACAGTAGGCAAGAAGCTCTCATGTACATAGGGCCTCTGCCGTGCCAAGTGCCGATAAAGGCACAGAGGACCTGGGGAACTCAGCTGGTAAAAAAGGCTGAATCCCATTTCAAGCTTGGAGATTTCAGTGTGTGTTGCTCTTTGGGATTATTTACAGAAATATTTAGCAAGACCAGCCCCATCCTTGATCTTGAGGACCTTGTTGTCAGGATGCTTTCTTCCAGAGAGGGACCCATTTGTCTCATTTTATTTCTTGGTGTGCTGTCTACAGTAAACCATTCTTCAGAGTAACAGGATAACAGTGTTTTTTTGTTTTATTTTTTTTCTTTTTGTCCCGTTAGAGGAGTAATACATGCTCATTATGGAAAATTTAGAAAACATAGGAAAGTATAAAAAAATTACCTATGTTATCATCCCAGTCTATCCATTGTTTTCATTTTGTCTTATTTCCTTCCAAAAAGAAGGTTTTCAAAAAACAGTTTAATATGAACCACATAAGCAATCTTTGGAAATTCAGAACAGGTTATTTAAAATGCCAAAACAAACAAAAAACCCAAAACACTCTGAAGGGTCAAGCCATAGCAGAAGAGTTAAATTCATTATGACCTACTTACAGAGTAGAGTATCAAGTGACCATTAAAAATCATAGTTTAAGAGAATATTTTATGTTATGGAAAATGCCCCCAGTATCATGTTAAATAAAAAAGCAGAATAAAAAATTGTTTGTGCTCTGCAATCTCAATTTTGTAGGAAAAAAATACTATGTGTACGTAGAAAAAAGACAAATATATTAACAGAGAACCATTGTTGTGGGCTCAGTTTACTAGGGATTATCTCTGGGAGTTAGGACTAAGGGTAATTTATATTTATGTTTTTCTACTTTTTAATATTTTTTTATTTTCAAATTTTCTACAGTATGAATATTTGGATTTGAGGACCAAGAAAAAACTTCTATTGTTTAAAAAAAGGAGGGAGAATTACATAGCAGTCTTGGCTTTGTGACTCTGAAGCCACAGTCACAGTTACTGTTAGCCACAAGACCTGATGACTTTCCTGGGCTCTTTGGTGTTCGTTCTGATAAACTTGGAATCTGGAAATGAAAGAAATGGAAGAGATGAGAGATTTCAGGCAGTGTAACTAGTCTGAACACCACTGGTTCAGTTAAATTATGTTCAGTGATTTATTGTCCCTCTGCCTATTTATCCCTTGGTAACTCATTAAGCAGGGTATTCCTTTAGAGAAACCTCATTGCTTTAACCAGTGGATCAAGCTTGCTTATAAGTTTCATGATCTTCTAACATTGGAGAAGATGGGAAAGGACTTTGTACTACTCCCAACTCTTTCCAATCTAGAGTGCACACAGGTCAATACTGAACTGTGTGTGAATTTTCCTTATCCTTTGGAGCCTTCTTTTTAGCCCCAGGGCGAGCAACCTTGTGTGAGTTTAGAGGAGCAGAGGTGGGGTGTATTTAATTTAGCACAGCAGGTTGCCCTGGCCCTCTCCTTTCAACAAGTGGCCATTACCTACCTGGCCCTGTGCTAAAGCTGGGAATGCAAAGATGACTAGGAGCCAGTACTTGCCCTCAGGGTACTCATAGTACAGTGTGGAAGCCAGTGATAGAAACAAATGATTTCAGGGTGTTGGAGAAAATCCTACAGGAGGAGTATGCAGGGAGTACTGTGGGAACACAGGAGAAGGGCTTCTAGCTCAGCCTGAGATTTTAATAAAGGAAATTATGCCAGGTTGAATCTTGAAGAATGAGTAGAAGCGAGCTAGATGGAGCAGGATGGGAGCATCTTCCCTTGCTTCAGGAAGGCACAGAAGTCTGGAATAGAATGTCGTAGGGGGAGAACTGCAAACAATTCGATGTTGTTACAGCTTAAATGGAAAGTTAGTGAGTAACGGGAGAGGCTGGAGAAGTTGATCACTTTTTTAATTAACTTTTCCGTGTATTTCTGAAAGCGCAAGCGCAATAATGTTAGGTATCCATGCAATTTTTTAAATTCACGGTGTTCTGTCTTATTTCCTGCCCAGTGTCAGTTGTTGCTGGAAGTGGCATGGCCTCTGTTTATCTTTCTGATCCTGATTTCTGTTCGGCTGAGCTACCCACCCTATGAACAACATGAATGTGAGTATCTGTAGAGTCCTGCTTGAGGCTCACCATTGGCAAGCAAAATCCAGGCAATGGGCATGAGCTATATTTGTTTTTTCCAAGGAAGCTAGCCTTAAGAAACACCACAAAGGTTTAGGACCAAAAATCTTAGGTTGCCAAAATTTTAGTAAAGGCATGAACTTAGAGACTAGTTTCAGTTGTAGGGAATGGTGATAATGGTAATTATAATAATAACCAACATTTGTTTTATGCGTTTTAAATCATGAAAATGAAATAACTTCACAGGTACTTCAGAAAGTGTGATTAAAAAGCACCCTTAAAACCATGCGTTAACACCCGTCATCTGATCCCTGCCAGTCTTTTTCATATGCATATGTCTTTTTTACACAGTTGCAGATCATGGAACATATAGTTTTAAGTAGCATTTGTATCGAACTTCACAGTTCGACCAATACTATTTCATTTGATTCTCATAACAATCTTGTATAGATGACTTTATTATTTTATCATCACTGGCTTTAATTTCTTGGTAAGTAAATTGAGGCTCAGGGAGGTGCCGCTACTTGTCCAGAGTCACATGTCTAATAAGCGATAAGGATGAAATAAAGCTCTGGTCATCTGGCTCCCAATCATGTGCCTTGATGATATCCTTTAAAATGGGCATAGAAAATATAATGCAGTGGCTAAGAGCCCAAGCTCTAGATGTCACATTACCTGTGTGTGAATCTGGGCTTCAACATTTAGTAACTATGCTCCCTTGGGCAGGTGACCACCACAGTTGGTGCTATAGTTGGTACGTCAGTTTCCTCATCTCTGGAAGGGGAATATTAATACCTACCTCATACATTTGTTGTGAGTGTTACCAGCCCACAATGACAGTCTTTTTCTCTGCTAGGCTCACTGCACGGGTTGTTCAATCTAAAGGATCAACGTTTACTTGGGAGGTTAGCTAGAAGCTCTGTTCCACTGCCTCAGTCACTTTCCCTACCACTCATCAGCTTGTTTCACACCCATACCAGCCCCTATGGGCTTGCAGAAACCTGTTCTTCAGGGTAGTGATGGGGCCAGAGTCTCCTTTCAATTGTGTTCTTGTCCTGGTCTCATCCCTTTCTCGGCACATGTTGTTGTTGTGTGCCGTAGTGTTGATTCTGACGCATAGCGATCCTGTAAGACAGGGTAGAACTGCCCCGTAGGGTTTCCTAGGCTGTAATCTCTATGGGAACAGATCACCAGGTATTTTTCTCCCAGGAATGGCTGGTGGGTTTGAACCACTGACTTTTTGAGCTTTCGATTAGCAGCCCAGCACTTAACCGTTGCGCCACCAGGGCTCCTCTGCAGCACATTTACCTGCTAAGGAGCCCTGGTGGCACAATGGTTAACTCCTCCACTGCTAACCAAAAGTTTGGCAGGGTAAATCCGCCAGCCAGTCCGAGGTAGAAGAGATGTGGTGATCTGCTCCTTTAAAGATTATAGCCTAGGAAACCGTCTGGGACGGTTCTGCTCTGTCCTATAGGGCTGCTATGAGTTGGAATTGACTTGACAGCACACACAACAATAATTTACCTGCTAATTTGCTGACACATGGTAGATATTCACTTTTTTTTTTTTAAATCACAAAACCTTAAAAATATTGCATCAGGCATGATTTCTTTATTTTTCCAAAAAAGGAAAAGAGTGGAAAATGAAATCTTCACTCATGTATGGGCATGTGAGGTAATTCCGCTTCCACTTTGGAACCCCAAAGAGATTTTGTTGATTGATGAGTAAAGGCAAAACTGATTTTATTTAAACATTACCCTGAGCCTCACCAAAATACTTGTATTAGGCCAAACTCAGCTACATTTATCTGCTAGGCTGTTGTCCCCTTCTGGAGTTATATACAAGCCGGCAGGATGGTATAATGAAAATAGCGCTTTGCCATCAGACAAATTGGAGTTTGTTTGAATCCTGGCTCTGCTACTTGCTAGCTTTGTGACCTTGGGCAAGTTGTTGAGTTTTCCACCCAGATCCCTCTGACTCCAGACTATATATTCTCAGAAATGTTGTGAAATTTTTATATCTGTAGAAGACAGATAAGACTTTTTCCATTCACCTATGCACTTCTTGCAACCTTACTTCCTGTTCTTGTTACCTTCTAGGGAGCTGGCTAGAAGGGCAGAGTTGAGAAAGTTGAGAGCTGAGGTGGAGTTTGGAGAGGGTCTTGTCTCTGGGAATAAAGGAAGGATTGGTATATAATTCTCCATAAAACTTTTCCAGTTCAACCTGGAGCCACCAAGGTCCTGCTGACTTACCTGGGCTCTAGGAGTCCATTATGCTATTTCATTATCATCCCGTGTACCCAGTGCCAAGTCTTTACTCTGCTTTTGTTTGATGGGACACAATCTACAGGGGAGGGTCTTTGCGTCACCCACCAAAGTCCAGCCTTCATTACCTTCACCTTCTATTGCCCCATGCTGCCTTTTACCAACACAACCCTGTCTTTGGTACCAGTACCTCTCGGAGTTTAAAGGGGAGAATCCCTTGGTCCTTTAAGTATTTGGTTGGGTTTCATAAATCTTCCCCAAATGAGAAGCAGCTGATTTAGGCAAGGGGCCTTGTTTGGTTTTCGTTGAACTATTAACAGGGAGATAAGGAGATTAAGTAAATGTTCAACAAGCCAGACCCCCTGCAAAGGGTGGCCACAGTGAATCAGATCTTGTCACATCTTTGCTTTGGATGTTGTCTCTCTGGTTGGAGTACAGGTAGAAGAAAAAGGCAGGTAGAAGGGCCCCAATACTGAAATGCAAAGTACTACAAGGCCTGGCTCTGGGGTAGCTTCTTGGGAGGCTCTGTTAGTACATTTGCATGAAAATAGATAATTAAACCAGGATTCCTGCTTTGGAGGAAGGAGGTAGTTGTGAGATGGAAAGGGAATGTTCCAGGCTGGGCAGTAGCACAGTAAGTTCACCACCACATTCCTCCGTATCCAAGACTTGGTAATCGTAATAGGCCCATTCATTGAGCGTTTACTCAGAGCCAGGCACTCTCCTAAGTGCTTGCCCATGAGAGTTCATGTAATACCACAGCTCTGTGAAGTAGATTGTATTATTACCATTTTACAGATGAGGAAACTGAGAGTTAGGAGTTTGGTGACTTGACCAAAATCCCTGCTTAGGGAGTTGCACGGACTGTATATGAATCCCAATTGGTCTGATCGCAAAGCCCAAGAAATGGCTCGTCTCTTTACCACCTAGAGCCATGGTTCTTAATGGTCCTTCACTTGTTTGGGGTCACAGGTAACCACCAAATATGATGAAAACTAGAGCCATGGTTTTTCTGTCCAAAGGAATCCTTGGTCCTCAGGTTAAGGGCCCCTGAACCAGGGCACATTTATCTTGATCCTTGTAAGCAGCACCCACTGATGACTGTCACAAACCAAACTGTGCCTTTGAAGCCCAGTACCTAGCCCAAATGTGCCTCGTCAGCCTGTCTGTAAAAAAGCTGCTCTGTAATAAAGCAAAAGGAGAGTGAGAGGATGACCTATTACATAGGGCTTCCTTGTTTTGATGAGCAACAAAACAACAGAAACAAGAACAAATGTAGCTTCATAGATGGCTTCCAACCCCAAGTCAGCGTGTTTATTGGGTGCCCTTGAGGAGCTTTTGAGTTGGCAGAGGTGGTGAAACTAACAGACATTTGGAAAACAGAGAATAGTACAAAAGGAGATTGAGGGGAGCTGGATTATAAAGGAGGTCATAGGTAGAAGACAAAACTAAACCAAACCAAACCCATTGTCGTCGAGTCGATTCCAACTCACAACGACCTTATAGAACAGAGTAGAACTGCCCCATAGGGTTTCCAAGGAGCGCCTGGTGAATTCGAACTGCCGACCTTTGGTTAGCAGCCGAACTCTTAACCATTATAACAGTAGGGTTTCCAGGTAGAAGACGAGTGGCTTGGATTGGGATCATGGAAATGTGGGTTCTGCTCCCAGATGTGCCCACTGACTCCCTGAGCGTTCTTCATCAGCTCCTTTATTTTGCCGTGGTTTCCTCCTTAGTTAAGAAATTACATGAAGTCGTCCTCAAGGATCTTCTGTATCTTTGAAGGATGAGGCAGGGGGAAGAAGGTGAACTAATGATCAAGTGCTTGCTGCACATCAGGCACTTTTCCTGTATGTTCCAATTTACTCTTTTCATCACTGCTGTAAGGTTGGAATCACAAACCCCAGTCTATAGATGATGTCCAAGTAGATTAAGAACCTTGCCTGTGGTCACAGAGGCCTGCTATCTGATGCCAGTGTCCAGCCTAGGGTCAGATTAGTCCAGAGGAGGCAGGTCTTTGAGATGTGGGGAACAGGACATTGTATGTATGGAGTCAGTAGAGATAAGGTCTCTATCAACTCTCAAAATCACTTAAAAAATTGAAGTAATGTTTCTCCCTGTGTTTTTCTTCTCCTTCATTTCAACAGGCCACTTTCCAAACAAAGCCATGCCCTCTGCAGGAACACTTCCTTGGGTTCAGGGGATTATCTGTAATGCCAACAACCCGTGTTTCCGTTATCCGACTCCTGGTGAGGCTCCTGGGGTTGTTGGAAATTTTAACAAATCCATGTAAGTACCAGATCAGGTTTTCTTTTCCAAACTAGTCAGTTAATACTTTTCCTTCACTTCTTGTCCTCTGGAGAATTTTGAATGGTTGAATTTGAGTGAAGTTGGATTTGTAAAGATTTGTGTGATAAAGTCTGCAGTATGAGAGGAGGAAGAATTGCCACCAGGATTGAAAACCGTGGAACCTTCTTTGTTACATTTTAGGAGTAACGATCATATATAGCCAAAAGTCATGTTGTTAGAGGCTGTTCTTCCAAATACTGGACGGTAAGTAGGAAGGGGAGATATAGCATCAGCTCCATCCGTTAATTTGTCTGCTCAATTAGCAAACATTTATTATGCATCTGAAATGGCTGGCTCTAGGATCTGGGGCTGTAGAAACATGTGCAACAGGAAGGGCTGCTGCCCTCAAGGAGCTTACAGCCAAGGCTTTGAGAGTTCTGTCCTCTGTGCTGTCAGATCACCTGTTTATACCTTTGTCACTGCCTCTATCATACTGCAATGTGACTGCTGACTGCAGGTCTTTCTTTTTCCTGGGTGTGAGCTCCTTGAGGGCCAAAATGCTGCTGTCTTTGCTTTTGTGTTCTTGACTCCTGGCTTCACTTCCAGACATAAATATGGGCATAATAAATGTTTGCCAAGTGAGACATTAAAGATTCCAATACACAGAAACATGACCTGGGTTAGAATGAACTGAGGGCTGTAGGGGGTGTATAGAGGTAATTCTGAGGAAGCTACAGCTGGGGCAGGCAGAGCCCTAGACTTTGTAGCCTTCATAGGCCCCTTCCTTCATGGGAAAATGTTAAAAAGTATATTTTATAACTGTGTTGGTAAAAAGATTAATATAATCTAGGCTGGATTCATTATTATATATTAATTTGTATAATACTCATTTTAAAAGAAATTAAAACATTTTCATGGGTCCCTAAAAGTGTCATGAGCCCCAGGCACTGTGCCTACTAAGTAAGTCAGTACTGAGGATGTGTGTGTGTGTGTGTGTGTGTGTGTGTGTGTGTGTGTGTGTATGTGTATGTGTATGTGTGTGTGTGTCAGGAAGGGCTTCTTGGGAGAGAGGCACATGGGCTGGGTCTGGCAGAGTGGTAAGATCTGGTTGTGTGGACATATGAGGAAGGGCATTCAGGGCAGGGATGATGGGTAGGTCACCATAGGTGGTTGGGAGTATAGACAGTCAGTGAACCTGGGCTGTGGGAAAGGTGGGAGCAGGCCAGGGCCTACCCTTGGATCACTTGGAACCAGCCTGGGGCATTGGTACCTGGCTCACTGGTAGTCACTTTTGTATAGCGGGAGAGGCAGCTAACCTAACCAAGGCTTTTTTTTTTTGCTTTTCCTATAGAGTGTCTCGCCTATTCTCAGATGCTCAGAGACTACTTTTATATAGCCAGAAAGACACCAGCATGAAGGATATACACAAAGTTCTGAGAACATTACGGCAGATCGAGAATTCCAGCTCAAGTAAGCAAAAGCCTTCTGTATGTTGGTTTGCAGTTGGAAGTTGACCTGCACCAGGGTAAGGCAGCAGCCCAGGTGGCCTGGGGCTTGCTCCCTTTAGCTCTTCCCTAGGGTGTCCTTCTAGGTGGCAGGCTGTGGGGCCTTTCTGCAGGAATCATTTGAGGAGAAACTAGGGAAGCTGGTTGCCATGGACATTTAGTGCACTGGCCTCCTCTGGAGATTCAGAAGAAAAATCTCTGGTGAGGAATGGCACAGGCTCTCTGACCGGGACAGCTCGGGGTGCAGGCAGCTTCCAACTGTTCTATTATGGAGGTGGCTGTATGGCTGTGGTGAACAATGGGCAGGTTTATAGACAGTGGGTACTACTGTGCATAGCAGAGCAATTAAAGTTGCAATTTGATATGAGTAAGTGAAAGTTAAGCATTTATTCCTAAAAGGAAAATACAACTCATCTTCCCCTAGTCATTTAATTTAGTCCAATGGGTATTTGAACTCGGATTTTTTCAAGTAGAATCTTCACTTTGTATCTGGTAAGCACCCAGGCAGTTTATGACATGCCATTGAGGAAGTGTCAGAGGAGCAGGCAGATTGCTGAGTGAGGCCCTGGCTACAGAAGTCATGGAGCCACCTCCCAGGCGGTGGCCTGCCTAGGGAGCAAGAGGCGGTGGGAGCAGTCTGCCAGGTGGAGGCCTTAACGGTGTGCATGGTCTCTAGAGACTTTAAAAGCAGTAACGAAGCCAACTAAAAGTTGGTCTACTTCTTAATGTCACCATACACCAGCAGTTCTAGACAATATCAGTGATAATTACTCATCTCCGTCCTGGGCTGACTGCTGCTGCCGCTCCAGGAAAGTACCTTTCACTCGGTTTAATGTTTTGGGACCAGTGCGGTGGGCTGGCCGTGGCTGAAAGGCATCCCAGTTTGTGATCCACTTGGCAAAAGAAGAAATGGCATAAAGTGCCACAGTTTAAACCAGACTCAGATTGGAGCTTTTCTTGGCAGATGAAACTTTGCTTTCTCTGGGTAGGAAAAGATGGGGTGGGCAGCATGGAACCTCTTGACAGAGGGAGGCAAAACTGTGGGGAGGTGAAGGATGGCACAGAGGAGGTGCTGCTTCACGGCCGAGAGAGGTGTGGCGGTGCTGAGAGGTGTGCACCCTGGGGGATGAACTTGGGCTCCTGGGTCAGCTGTGAGGAGCTCCCAGCTGGACCACTCCCAGCTGCATGGACAGGCCATCTGCATGCTATTTCCTTGCCCTCCGGCCCCACTATCCTGCACACGTGTGTCTGTCCCAGTGCAGGAGACAGAGAGGTAGCAACCACAAATCAAAGCATCAGTTCTCCCTGATCTTCTGGGGTACTGTATGCCTGGTGGACCAGAGGCAGAGCTGGGGTTATTCTGCTACCCCCAAGAGACAGTGTGGCAGAGAGGAAAGAGTGCTAGGATATATTACTTTGCAGCTATGGGACTTCGTGAGTAAGTTAGTTAACCTCTTCTGGGCCAATTCTCCTCATCTGTAAAATGGGGCTAGTAGGAGAAGCTATCTCATAGGACTTTTGTGAGGAAGAAATGAGATAAAACATTTAATTGCTTAAAAACAGCACCTGGCACATAGGAAGCACTTAGTGAATTGGCTAGTGAATATTTTGGAGCAGTGACATCTTGGTCAAGCCAACTTAACCTCGCTGAGCCTTAATTTCCTTAGGTATGAAATAATAGCTAACTTGCAATGTAAATATAAAACCTAATACAGTGTCTGGCCCATAGTAGATGCTTAATAAATGAGAACCAGTGTTATTCTTCAGTGACAGTGATGCATTTCTGAGCATCCTGCCTCTCCACTTGCTTGGCTGTTGAAATAGACTGGCTGATGGGGGAGAGTGGTCAAGCGGAGCGTCAGATCTCAGTGGAGGCTGCCTTAGAAACACAACTGTCTTTCTTCTTTGAGCAACTGGAAACGTGAGTGGAGGTGGAAAAGAGAAATCAAACCTGTGTCCAAAAACTTTCTCTGTCTGCACAGCTCTGAGGAGAGAAGGCCTTCCCTGATTTTGATTGCTTCATGTCAGCGCTTGTTTCACATCTCCCGGTTCCTCCAGTGCATTGCCTTTTCTGCCCTGCAGCTACATCTTAAATTGCTTCCACCTTTGACTTGCAGCACAGAGCCAGGCCTCAGCCTAGAGAGAAATGCACAGAAACACTCCTTCTTCCTAGATGAAGTTAGTATGTGTTTGCTGGTTTTGAATAGGATGCTGTAGACTTCAGAGAGACTCTGGGGCTGAGGTGTGTCTCTGTAGATCCCTACTTAGAGACGTGTGTTTATCTTCACTAACACTCCTACTCACAGCATGATGGGCTCAACCCTCTTGTACTATTGCTTTTAGGATTAGAAGGATCCTTGGAGCTGGTCTAGTCTAGAGCACCGCCCTCATTACAACTTTTCCTACCATACATGTGCTTCCCCCGAAGTGGGAACTTCTCACAAGATAGCTCATTTTGAGGGTAGATAGCTGTAATTGTCAGAAAATATTTGTTAGTCTGCCATGCCTTCTAGAGAATGACTCTAATTCTATTTCCCTTGAAATATTTGAAGACAGCTTTCATGTTTTTTCCTTTTCCCCAAGTCTTTGATTTTTCCAGGCTAATTCTCCTCCATTCCTCTTACGGAATGTTTTCTTCCTAATTTCTGCCTCTCCTCTGGCTGGATTTCAGTGTGTCTGTGTCCTTCTTGAAGTTGACCAGAAAAAAAATTACAACAGTATTCTAGCACAGAGTAGAAAGGGACTTTTGCCTTCCTTGTCTGACTGAGCACCATATTTCTGTTAACGCAATCTGAGATTGCGTTAGGTTTTTCGGCATCCATATCACAGTGTTGACTCATAGTCTGTGTTCAGTCAACCAAAATTATAGTGTTTTAAATAAACAATATTGCAAGTTACTTGCTCTCAACCTCTTAATTGTGCAGTTGGCTCTTTGAACCTAAAGGGAAAATACTTACGTCCTTTCTGTTTCACATTTTTAGATTCCATATGTCATCACATCTCACCAAAAATCATTGTAGACTCTGATTTGCCATGCATTGTATTTGATTCTTCTTCTTGTTTCCTCCCATTTAAGAGTTAGATAAGTACCTCTGTTCTCATCTGAGTCACTGATCAATGTGGGACCAAGGCTGGAAGCTTGGAAAAGTAAGTCTGCTGGAGACTGCCTGCCTCCCAAGGAGATGGAATACCACCCTTGTACACTAACTTGCAAGCACTTACAGATCCACCAGCCTATGTTGTCACCACTGCTGGACCACTGGGCTCCTTCTGTTTCTGCAGTGCAGTCAGAGGATTTATCTTGTTCTTTCCTTCATTTTGAATCTGCAAAATCCACTAGGCTCTCCACAGACTTTTGGACTTGGGGTCTCTTCTTGGACTAGAGAATCTTTTTTATTTCCACTGTTAGGACTATTACTGGAAGAGACGTAAGAGGTCATTCAGTTCACTTATAGATCAATGGGTTGATTGATACAGTCATTCAGCCAATGTTTATTGAACATCTCATATGTGCCAACCACTGCTATAGGTGTTGTGGACACAGAGGTGTACAAAAGAGAAATGGTCCTTATCCTCGTGGAACTTACAGTGTAGAGAAGAAGATGATCCAGACAGGGGAAGTGACTTTCCAAGTTTGCACAACCACAGGAGGGACAGTGTGGGAATGAAGCATAACTAAACCCCATGTAATTCTCTTTCTACAGTGCTATCTTGTTGTGCCATTTTAATAATCTTCCAACTGGAACGACCTCCAGTTTTACAGATTAAGTCACAGACAAATCTCCTAATTAGTCTTAAAATCATCCTGATGAGAAACACAAGTAGGAAACCTTACAGAGCTGCCTTACCTAGCTTTCACATTATTGGAACCTTTTGGACATGTTATTATTTTCTTAAACCACAGTACAGCCACAAAGGTTGGTATCTGTGAATGGTATCTAACAATGTTTGGGAATCAGTGTGAGGAGCATTCATTTTCTTAAATCCCTATCATGAGTACAAATCTAAGGAAATATAAAATTAGATAAACTCTCCAAAACCCTAGAAAAAGTGACAGGTCTACCTTCTGCTTCTGTGAGGTGTAGACTAGCAAGGGTGAGTGCTCCTCTGAGTGAGCTGGGTGTGATATCTGAGATGATGTCAGGCAGTGCACAGATGACAACGTTTAATTCAAACTCATGTCAAAATACAATTTCATGGATATTACTGCTTTTAGGATATTAAAAGGAAAAAATTAATGCCAATTTAAAGAATGCGTTATTTTATGTGGATAGGGTAGTTTGAGGATAGTTTGTAAATTAGTAAAGATGGGGAAACATTGGTATAAGAGAAAGAGTTTGGGGCTCTGTATTCAGATATGTTTGGGAAAAATCTCTGGCTCTTTGCCTCACTAGGTGTATAGCTTGGGCAAGTTTTGACTCCTGGCTCTCAGTTTACCTCAAAAAATGGAGATTAGCTGCCTCCTAGGATTGCTGAGCATCAGATCAGATGCCATCTGTGAATGACTGATAGTCATAGCACATAGTCATAGCACATAGCTGACACACAATACATCTGAATTGGTTTACTTTCTCCTCTGTCCTGGGCTGACTGTGTGGCCTTTGCCATTTTGCTCAACCTCTCTGGGCCTCAGGTTTCCTTGCCTCTAAATTGAGACTTTGGCAAACACCCTAAAAATGGCTCATCTCAGAAACTTGCTCAGTATTTGGATGAAAGGTCACCTGGGACTAACTGGTATTGTTGGCTGTCCACTAGACTAAGCCCATTGAGGGCAGGACTGGGTCTTATTTATGGCTGTACCCCAAGTAGCAAACACATGGTAAGTATGTTAGTTTCTTGAGGCTGCTATAACAAAGTACCACAAATTGATGGCTTGAAACAACAGAAATTTATTGTCTCCCAGTTCCGGAGGTTAGAAGTCAGAAATCAAGGTATCACAGAGAGGCCATGCTCTCTCTGAAGGCC